TACATATTGTTGCACAATTTAATTTTAAATTAATATGTAGGTGAAGAAACATCACAGAATCAAAGTTTATAGTAATTATATATATTTTTTTATAATTTTATATATATAAAAATTTACAAACAAAATAGTGTAACAAATCGTATGACTGATATGTACTAAAAAAGTGGAAAAGAAAAAAAAAAAGTCTAACTATAAGAAATTTCTACGTGATTCCTTTGATCCTCTATACTATAAACAGTATCGCCGTCATTGTTTATTTAATAAGCTTATAGGAGGTTTTATTTCGGTAGACGTGTCCTAATTTGGAAGGAGTAAACACTGCTAATTTTTTGGAGAGGGTATACCGGTTTTTCCACTTTTTGGCCGAAATTTCTAAAAAAAAAAATCCAAAACCACAAAAATATGGTAGAAGGTATTTGTAACGAGTACTTTCAAACTTACTAAAGAGAGTATTGGACGTCTAAAACTTTTGTTGTTTTCCTTGTGTTCTTCTTTAAAATAACAGCCCTAGTGCTTCGTCAATGAAATAGAAACCTACTATGAAACTTTTTTCCTTACAAGATTTTTTATACAAGGATACCACCTGCCAGTTATCTTGTATAATAATGCTCTTGGCTTGCATACTGAACATTCTTTTAGAGGAGTTTCCCACAAATAGTTAACCTCTAGACAAACCGCAACATAAGGCCACATCTCTCCAACAAAGGTTGTATTTTTCTGTTAGCTGAAATTTTGGTACAAGTGATTGTCAAGGAGAGTTGAGCTTCAATATTATTTAATAAGAACTTCAAATCTAAATATATATATATATAGCTAGAATAATACCTGGGTCTTATTCAATTTTCTGAATCACGAACCTATGATTAGTATTCGGGTCTTTTTTATGAGAAGTATTATGACAGGGGTACTATAGTCAGTGGCATAATAGACCCGGGTCTTATACTTTTTACCTTCTGCATTGCACGGAATACCACAGAAATCACGGAATTGCCTCATAAAAATGGCGATCATTTTTAAATTTTTGGCCTGAATTTAAGATCTACGCCATTGTAATTCCGGCTAATGTCAATTTTTAAATTTTTGGCCGGAATTTTCAGATCATAGTTTCGGCCGACTCTATATAATTCTGGCCAAATCGCAGAATCAATCCTTTATCAAAATATATATTAGCTTAATAAAAAAATAGTTAGCTATGGGGAAATAAAGATTTCATAATTATAATAAATTTAATACAGTAGTAATTTGCGCATATGAATTATTATCCATCTTAGACGAATTAGCAATTAAATATTAAACACTATTTATATAATTTAAAAAAAAGAAGCCAAATAGTCGGGTCTATTTAAAATCTAATGTTAATAGAGTCCTATACTAAGTAAAACTATAAAAATTTACCCTGATTGAATCGTGTGAAGTCAGCCAATCCGATTAATAGAAATTAGCAGAATCGTGCTAAAATTTTTTGAATTTAAGGAATATTATCGTTATAGATCCATAATTTTCGCGAGCCTGATAAAATTACTTTTTTGTTGAGCCACACGGTCCGCAAAATAAAATTTATTTTTAAAAAGGTTTATATGTTATTGACATATTCTGTCCGCATTTTTGCTATGTTTTTAAATTTCCGGGCCGTGGTAATTTTGGCGACGACACGGGTTTAATTAAGAAAATTAACAACGAATTATTACGATTTGTGCTCTAACCTAATTTAAACGCTAAATGAAATTTAAAATGTTTTCTGTCATCATGTTACAGTAAAATTTTGATAGTAATGTTGGCTAATCACGTAAACCAGAGGATATATAATATAAAATATGAAAACCAAAACGAAAGCACTATAAAAGCGTGAAACTATGCGAAACATAAAAGAAAATGCAAGATCCACAAGAAAGAAATATCAAGAGAAAAATGATCAATAATTACAACATTTACACATAACATTTCAATTTTTTTTTTTTAATATAAAATCGCATCAATTACAAGAAACATCAAAATAATTATATTTACGACCTTGACCAAAGTCCATGACAACTCTTTCCTAAGCAAACTTACCGACTTCTAACCAACCATCATGTAATACTTTCACATACCAAGTCTGGCATTTAATAAATAATGTGAAAGTGAGATAGCTGTCTTCGCTAATATGAAGACTTTAAATGATGCTTATGCAGCTTCTTTTGTTTTTGTTTTTTTTGTTGGTTTTATAAAACTTTTGCACAAAAGTTCTTCTTATAAAGTCAATGCCTGAGGGTAAAAATTTAAATAATGTAAATAAATAAATAAGTATTATAGAATTACTAGTATAATAAAATTTAAACATACCATGATAGCATTAACGATATCGTTATTATTCTCCTTGAGAGCCTTTACAGCTTTAGAACGAGAGACATTCTGATATAATTAAATAAAAATCACAAGAGTTTTGTTCAAGGAAACAAGATTTTTTTGTTACTTAAGGGTAAATAATTACGATCGCCAAGGCGATAATCCGTAATATCTAAAATGATTTATAAACACAAACGAAAACCACAAAGAAGTTATTTGTAAAAATAAACGCACGGCTTGTTGCATGACCAACTCGATGTCTTTCGCCTCGACGTTAGATTCATCTATGTTCAATTCTTCCTCATCTTCTTCGACAGCAACATCTTCGACCTTACTGGTATCTTGTGCTGCAGCAGCCTCAGCAGCATGGAATTGTTGAGCAGCATTGGCTTGAGCTTGAGAATTAAGATCTTCAATTTTAGCTTCACCAAACACAATGTAACAATCAGAATTGGCAGACTTGTAGACATCAGGGTTAGTAACGACAAAGAGGATCTATTAAGAAAAAATAAATAAATAAATGATCAACATCAAAATCAGTAATTAATTGTATTAGTCTTAGGAAACTGATATAATGATAAGAGTAATTATAGGATAAATTCCCCGTATCTGAGTTGTACATTTATCTCAGAAACATACATTCTTTGGTCTTCGAATAGTCACACGGTTAATACCGGGTACGACTTTCAACCCTAATTTTTGCATTGCCTTGCGAGCCTTCTTCTCCCCACGACTTTGGAGTTTGGCAATATCGGCAGGAGCAGCACCAGCTGGAATACCACCGTCCTCCTCTAAACTAGGAACTGAGTCTTCGTCGGATTCAACGGTAGCGCCTTTTTTTTCTGACTCTTCATTCTCTTGATTCTTTACACCGTCTTCGTCTTTTATTTCACTCTCAACATTAGAACTCTCTAGAACTACTTCTTCTTCTTCCGTGATTTCCTGAATCTTTGGTTCAGTAGTAACGTCCGACATTATTTTTTAGGTAGAATATGAATTAAAATCCTATTTTTAATGATAAAATTTTAAAAATTTTTAGTGGCTTTTCCACAAAATTTCCTAATGCAATAGATCCGATTTTTTTTTTATCGATGCACAGTCACATGGATTGGCTCATGATTATCTGGCCAATCAAATCATGTAATTCAAAAATCAACTTTTTTTTTTTTATCTTTGCTAGGACGTAGATTTTATAAACAAAATTTAAATTTGCTAGCCATCCAATGATCCAATTCAAACAATTTTGTTTATTTTGTAAAACTTAGTGAGTTCTACAAAATAAAAAAAAGATTTTTTGAATTGGATTATTGGATGGCTAACAAATTTATAAAATCTACATAGTCCGTAGGATCATTTTCCTAACAAAGATCCCATTTACTAGTGACTAGTGTCTTGACGTAATAAACGGCGGCATTTTATAGGCTGGAGCCTTAGTTATTAGTTCTTAAGTTTGAAACTGTCTTTAAAATTTAAGGCTTTAATATTGTAAAAAAACCAATCCTTGTTTTCTACTATACAGTTTAATAATCGATTAAAAAGATCCGTATGAATTCTTGACAGCCTTAAAACTTTAATGTCCTTAGAAAGTTTCTAAATTCAATTTTATTATAAACTATCAGCTGTTGCTGTTATTATTCTAAGGCATATAAATTTCTGAATTATAAAGCAAAAAAAATAGAAAGATAAATCCTTAACGTAGCAAGTTCCTTTGTTTTTATTAAATTTGATTTTGCCTACAATCAATTAAATTCAGAAATTACACATCAGGCATAACTTGGTTAATTAATAAACATCTGATTAGTATCTGACTATTATTACCCGAAATTACGGTAAAACTTAACAGTTTATACTATATTTTTTTAAAAAAAACATTTTTTTTTTTATTCAGTTAACCTAATTTAGTGTTTTTAGATTCTGAACGGTGCCGGACATTCCCGAAATTCAGTAGAGTAAGGCTTGAAAGGCTTTCTCTCCTTCAGCTCTAGCCAATTATAATTACAAGTTACGGCAGTATGGTCGCACCCTACTAATGACCAAAAAAAAAGTTATTATTATTTTTTCACTAAAATTTTACTAAGACTAACGCTAATAGGCTCATCATTTTCGCCGATTTTTGTTTCAACCCAAAATTTATTAGCTGCCCGATACGAAAGTATCGGAGCAGCATTTTGTCTCGAATCGATCACGGGTGCGGTTTCGTGATTA